GGGGGGGGATTCTGCTGCGGCAGGGGGTGGGCAGAAACCCGAGTGGCTGCTGCATGGTGGTGAAATCTAGCCAGCCTTGCCAGGGCCTCCCTGCCTTCCTCCTCAGTGGGGGCCTACTGCCGGCATCCCCGGCATCCCCGAACACAAAACCCCTCTCCAGGGCCCCAAAAGCAGCAGCTTCTCCCTTGGAGAAGGATAGCCTGGCCCCCGCTGCCAGTTGCTGGAGGCAGCCGGGAGGGCAGGGTTAACCCCCACGCAGGGCGGGATTTTGCTGTGGAAGTCAGGGTGGTCCTGTCCCCGGCTCCCTGTGCTTGGGGAAAAGCTGCCCCTTCCAGACCATCAGCCTTTGGCAGGCCTTGTGTCAAAAGGGCAACAGCCAGGATGCCCCAGGGAGGACTCTACTCCGGGGAGGTAGTGGTGGAAATTCGGCGTTGCTGCCATCCCTAAAGATGCACCTCCTGCCTCTTGGGTTTAACGACCCCACAGGCCCTTTACAGAGGCTGCTGAACCTGACAGCTCTGCTAACCAGCCCGGATCCCCTGCCCCCCGAAAGCAGCACGAAGAAGTGGTCCTTCAGTGACAGCTCTTTATTTGGCCACGGGTGGCTTTGCCCCGGGCCTGTGTACAAAAGATAAAAACTGTGTAGCGCAGCCAGGGAGGAGTGCAGGGTGGTCGTGGCACAGGAGGTGGTAATTAGGTATGGCGTGTGGAGGCAGAAGGGAAAGTGCAAGGCCGGAGGGGCTCCCTGCTGGAGCTTGCCCACAGAGGGGTGGCTCCGTCCGTACCGCGCTCGGAGCTGTGGCTTCTGGCCATGGCTCTTCTGGAAGGCACTTGGGGCCGGCCAGCGGCTGCCAGACAGGCTCCTTATTTCTCCTGCATCTTTTCAAGAATAGGGACAATCATGTCAAATTTGGGGCGCTTGGCAGGGTCCTCGTTCATGCAAATCTTCATCAGCTTGCAAATGTGAGGGGAGATGCCGGGGGGGATGGTGGGCCGCAGCCCCTCTAGGGCAACCTGCAAAGACACACCAGAGCTTCGTTGGCATCCGCTGGAGCGCCAGAGCAGAATCCCTTCGCTCTCCGGCTGGAGCTTACCTTCATGCCAATCTCCATGTTCGAGAGGTCAGCGAATGGCACTTCCCGGGTCACCAGCTCCCACAGCAGCACTGCAAAACTCCACATGTCTGCCGAGCGCCGGTTAATCTCCTCGGCCTTCTTCTGGAGAGCTGGGGGGGGGGGAGGGGAAAGAGGAGCCGCCTGGGGGAGCTGGCCGAGCACAGAAAGACCTGGCGGTGGCTCCAGTTCCAGTACAGGGAAGGACGGCGTCCCATGCTTGGTTGGGGCAGAGAAGCAGCTGCCCCACGCCCCCCCATCCCCACTTACCTTCCGGTGCCACCCAGGCTGGGGCATACATCCTGCCTGGGCACTGGAAGGAAAACTTCACGTCTGCCATGCCAATCCTGGCCGTCATGTCCTCATCTATCTGTTCCAGGCAAGAGAAGGGGTGATGGCTCTGCCCTAGGCCGGCTCTGCCCAGTTCTCCAAACTCCCCCCCACCAGCTCACCATGATGCCGCGGCTGTTCAGATAGTGGCGTGGGAGGAGCGGCTCCAAGGTGTGCAGGAAGGCCATTCCCCGGGACACGTCCAGGGCAAATTTCACCGCCTGAGTTTGGTCCACCACAAAGTCTGGAAGGAGAAGATGGGGAGTCCATTTGGGCAAACTGGAGGTTGTAAAATGGAAGACTAGAAGGCACCCTGCCCACCCCCTTGCTCAGAAAGGGATCCACATTCAAGTTGTGCCTAACAAATCTAGCACAGGAGAACTTACCACCTCCCTGGAGCGCTGGCCCCACTGTCAAGCTGCTCTTGACCTCTGCCAGGTTTTTCTGGTGTTTCCTCAGAATCTGCCCTCCTGTCTCTAAACCCAGAGTCTGCATTTTGCACCCAGGAGGAGAAAGAAGCGAAACAAACCGGAGCTTCGCGTGCAGATTCATGGGGCCCCTGCCTCGTGGAAAGGGAGCCTGGTCATGGGGTTGGCCTGGCAGCGGGGGGGGGGGGGGGGACCGAACTCCCAAAAGGCAACGTCCCTCTGGGGTTACTCTTGAGAATGATAACCCAAAGCCAGTCTAAAGGGCTGTGGCAAGTCCTAACCCCATTCAGGGCAAGAATCCAAATCAGAGGCTTGAAACCTCCAGGAAAGGCCAGCCTACCTCCCTGGTCCCTACTTCCGTGGCTGGGAAGGGAAACACCGGGGAGCTCCTCTCTTGTGAGATGTTCCAATCCAGCCATCCACTTAAGGTGGGGGGGGGGGGGGGGAGGTTCAGGACCTGTTCTTGGACACCACAGCGAGTTAAGCTCACAAGCAGGGGCTGCCTTGGAAGGGTTTCAGACGTGCTTTGAGACCCCACGCCTGTCCTTTGCAAACGGGTCCAAGCCCCTTGGGAACTCTTCCCAGTTAGAGGTGCCATCCCATCAGGTCAGGTGCGTGCTGGACTTCCCCTTTTTATGGTTTGTTCTAAGTTTCCTTCTAAGCTCCTAAACATCCTAGCTTTTTTTATTTTCAGTTCATTTTTTGTAGAAGAGTTAAATGAGCCCACTGGTTATCCTCTTGCATGCCTCTCCCATGCTCTGTTTTCTTCTCTAAGGAATCATATTCAGTGCTACAGATGGGCATCAAACCTTACAATGTTGGCAGTTTAACTTTCACTCTTTTTCTGAAGGTGGTGGAAATGGTTCCGAATAAGCAAGCAGGGCCAGTTTGCACCAAGACGAGAAATTAGGGCTGCTGGTCCAACCAATGCCCCAAGAGGAAGAAGGGAAAAGACCAGATCCGCCCTCCAGGGAGAGCAGGCAGGAATCTTCCAGCTCCAGGGAGCGGCTGCTCAAAGACCCTCTGAAGGCAAGCTGCTTGTGGAGCAGCCCATAGCAGGCCTACTACAAGGGAAGCACTGGGATTCCCCACCCCCAGCCCAGGATGGGGTCAGAGGGGTGCTTCAAGGGGGTCTGGGGCGAGCCATTTGATTTGGAGAAGGCTTGCATGATGTACTTCCACCCAGTTGGTCCACAGCTTCCAGAAAACGTGCCTTTGTTTTAACTCAGGAAGTGCTTCTGTTCTGGAAACTGCCTGGCGCAGGCTGTCCAGCTGTTTCGTGCAGTGGTCAGAGTGCCTTGCTGCTTGGTGAGTTTGGGGCCTCTGCCAAGCCCCCCCTTGCTGGGCCCTGAGCAGCCTCCCAACCCCAGCCAGTGGCAAGACTCACTGGTGCCTTCATGAAGCACGTTGTAAAGGGAGCCGTAGGGCATCCAGTGAGTGATGATGATGGGGTGCGGGGCAGGGGGTGACTGGCAGGCGCCCAGGACTGGCAGCACGTTGGGGTGGGAGAAAATCCTGAGGGGAGAAATGGCCCAAGTCAGCTTTGCCACACCAAGATGCCAGCCTCCGGGGCTGCTCACGGGGGGGGGGGGGGGGGGGGGG